ACACACACACACACACACACACACACACACACACACACACACACACACACACACACACACACACACCTAGATGTAGGCCCCACTAGTAGTCCTAGTAGTGATGTTGGTGTGTTTTCCTGCTGCATTGCAATCGTAGATTGATTGTAGATCAAGAGTCGAGCTGTTTGATGTTCACTGATCACCCCTAGTGAGTAAAGTGAAGTTTTCAACTGCAATTTGTAAAGAAACTTATCGAACTCGTTCAACAAAATCCATCCTTGTATGACGTTGCCTTACCACAAAACAAGGACACCTCTACACTTTCGTTCACAAACACGGCAATCATGTGAACGTTAGTGTCCGGGCAATATCCGCAAAATGCCACCGTTCGGTCGTCGTTCCGTCGCCGCACACTGCTACAGAGAATCGGCCTTAAGATTTCGTCTTCGACACCAGGTTATCAAGTCAAGCTAACAAACAACACAACCGAGTTTAGACATCGTAAGGACAGCCGGGGGGGGGGGTGGCTTATCTTCTCTAAGACTATGTATAATTGTATAATAATATTATGATGGTGAGGGGGTTGGGAAAAACTTTCGGACAACACCTAACCGGACCTGACAGATCAGTTCTATCCGTGAAGACTGACCTCACAGCCCAGATCACAAAGCATGTCCTAAGATTGTGTGTCAGCAGCCATGCATGTTCCAAGATTTCTGATCATAATATGAACACATAGCATATTCTCCCCGAACACAATCACGTCAATCAAACAATAAAGGAATCATACAAGGTCTTCTGCCACATGATGTTACACATGTGAAATATCAAAACTTGATATTTCACACGTGGATTATCATTGTAGTTTTCGTAAATTACCCTACGCCCTATACTTGTCTTTTAACCCTCTGAAAAGGAGATTGAATTATAACTATTCACAGACCGTGCAACGCAATGCATCTACTCTTTACCCTCTATAAAAACTGTGCTGCGCATGCGAAGCGCGCTCATCATGGACGCCTAAATGAAGTGCAAAACACCAGTCTCCGAGTCCACATATAGTGGAGAGTACGCGCAACCTTTTCCGTTGCCCTTAATAGTGAGTCAAATGATGCGCCCCATTGTGAGTCGGGATTCCGTCAGAGTGCAGTGATGTATTATATAAAGCAATGCACATGTCTAAGTGAACAAACGACTCGTAGCCTTTGTTTTGTTTTAGTTGCAAAGTTAAAAGTCAAAGTCTTACGAAACCATAGGATATGAATGCAGTTTCTTAATCTTTCACTTTTTCAATTGTGTTTTTCTGCCTGTTTATTTTGTTATTTTGGTTTTATTTCGCGGAGGGAGGCATACGACAGCAAATTATAAGTGCAATCAAAGTAGAAGACGGAATCCTAATATTTTTCCATTTCTCACTCCAACTTCGATGACGATGGAAATTTTACTTTCATGTGAGCCTCTTAAATGGGGCCACTTGACCATTTGACCGGTCATTTGAATTTTGTTGGTCTGGATCTATTTTATCAGCTGAAATCAGTATAGTATGAAAAATTCATTCCATGAGTTATGGTGGTAGATCATGATTTACCCTTTTTGTAAACACTACCAGTTGTAATTTCTCGCTGAAACTCGTGGTTACAATTTGGCAATTTCAGGAGTAGAATAAATCATCGTCTACCATCATAACTCGAGCAATAAATTCTTTATCTAAATCTGTTACTGAGACACTTGTATGCTCCTCACGCAAGACGATTAAATATTCTTAGATGAATTGATGAATATCAGGAAACTGAGGCGTCACCAAACAAGAACGATGGCAACGAGGGATTGCCGCGACACCTCATTGTTCATGGTTTGGTGAATCTAGTTTTAGAGTCGTCTACCCAAGCTCTTTTATTCTTCATCACGTTCCTGTCATGTGAGAGACGAGTTTTTCTCCTACTGTCAGCACAATGATAAACATTTTCAGTTGCCAAAAACTAATTCGAAGAAAAACAGGGTTGTTTTCAATTTTCATAGAATAATGCCGTCTATTTTCTGGGGTGGAGTGCGAATAGGGGAAAGAGAGAGAACACTCAGAGAAAAGAATGAAAGATAAAGTGATGGCTGATTGATTGGGGGGGGGGGGGGTGTCAAGGGGATTGAAACGAGTCTCTAGAAAAATGTGTTAATGTATCTTTGTCTTTTATTCAAGAATCGTACGCAAGTCCAAACTGTAGTTCAAATTTCACGATATTTTTGTGTTTTGTTCTGGTATCGTACACTGTTTTTGTAATTCATTTTGTAATATCTGTATTTGCAATATCTAGTCGCGTTCACTTTTTCAATACTGTCTACTGACATCGTTCTTCACAGGTAGCAAAATATATAACAGAACAGTTGTGAAAGCCTGGACAGAGATCAGTGATATATGCAACGACGTCGATCTAAAAACTGACTGCATTGGCAATGCTATCAGGAGTGACTTGACAAACTGTGAAAAACGCCAGATGGCATTGCAAGATCAAAGTATCTCGGTAAGTGTCTGTTCATTTCAGTTTTTAAAAACAACCCAAAATATTTTTTAGCAATTATTTTTAAGTCTGAAAACTGGGGACCCAGTTTCTCAACGGGATGCCAGGTGGACAAGAAATTGTTGAAGGAAGGGCGAGAGACGTTTGATGCACTGACACGTTCTTGGCAACAGGTGTGTATTGATGGCATATCTTTCAAAGGATATCGTATAGATCATTAACTTTTCTGTGTCTGCCTCCTGTTTATAAAACTTTACTACACAGAGACTAGTCAGTAGTGACATTAGTCCAGCTCTAGTTCGTTTGTCGCTTCCTGAACTAAACTAGGACTCAAACATAATTCAAAGTCTACGATTTGATGCCTGGGTCTTTGAAGAAGGTCTTGCCAGTCTACTCTTTGGTAATTTCATATAACTTTGTATTCAGTATTCTGTTTTTTTATTCCTTCTCTTCTCATCTGTAAAACGGTTTTGCAAGGCCACTTGATTTCAGCCCTGTTTTCTTCACGAGAGTCAATAATACTCAATTTTGTTTGAGGGACTAGTGTCACAAGCAGTGGAATCAAACGCTCGTCATTTTATTGTTATCATCTTAAAACACGTTCTTTTACCCGTCTTCAGATGAAAAAATACTAGTCAGTCTTGAAAAGAAATCGAGATATGTGTTATTGGAGGAGTGGGGGTCGCCTGGTTTCAGAGGTAAAATTAGCGAGAAAATGGCCACGAAAGCTTGGTTATGTCCACAGCTTGAGAGTCGTTGGAAATTGAAAATTTAAACATTTCTGTGCTTTTAGTCAACGTTTTTCAGTAGAATCCATCCATAAATATGTTTTTAAATGGACATAAAAGGTTTTGAGATAAACAAATGGACAAAAATTGCCAAACCGGCAGAAACATGCTGATATCTTCGATTTCATTGTTTTGAAGACCGCCGGATTTCACCACGATGTCTCACTTATTTATTTCATCTGTGATGTCCATGAAAGTGACAGAGATACACAATATTTTATAGTATTAAAGTAGCGTCGTATTTTCGTTGCCCGAATCCTTTTTGCAGCCCTGAAACAAGAAATATGGGGAGTATAATATACATGTACTCAGTAGTCGGAATTTGTACCTGCCATAAAGAAGACTATTGATCTAAAACTGTTAGCTTACTTACTTCATATCTTCCTATAGTGATTTCTGGTTACTCTGCACCCTTTCCTGTATAATTTTTTTATTTCATACTGACTTAGCTTTCGCATTCAGTTTTAGGGCATTCTGTAGAATCTGCCTAGGGACCGAGAATGGATGAATATCAATCCGTTATTTGAAGTATAAACTTGAAGAATATAATATACTCTATTGTCTAATTAGTGATCATTGTATATGATACATACTCTATTGTCCAATTAGTTATCATTGTATATGAATAGAAACAAATTTTCTTCCAGGGACTTACCAGACTTAATTATTTCTTATCTTTCAGCCGCTGTGCAGACAGTTGAAAGCTTACGCTGTCTGCGTTGTGGGAGAGATGAGGAAATGCGATGAATACACTGCAAAGTACTGGGGAGGGCATTTACAAAACTTTAACAACAGATTCTGCAAAGCCGATCCTCATAAGCCTTCCAGCACAACGCAAGTTGGGAGCACAACGCTTACTCTCATCTTGCTCGTTTCCTTTGCTGTCTGGCAAAAGTCTTGAAGAGATGACGCATCCAGAAAAGAGGTTTACTAGTCACGACGGACCTGGTGTGTTTCATCAAAGCTGAGAATCTGTGAAAAGTTTAAATGCTGATAGGGGCAAATATATAAAGCAAACTTGTAACAAAATGCGTATTCTTGAGAACAAACTATGGTATGTAAAACGATTTTGACCAAAACAGTTGGACCTGTGTAAAGCAAACTAGTGTTCCAATCTTTTGAAGGTTTCTTTAAAAAGTAAATAAATGAAGTTAAATCAATTATTAGTTTAGTTTCAAATTTTTCCTTCTAAATTGTTTAGAATCTGCCATGGAATAAATGTACCCGAAGGTTGGGAAAAATACCGGTGTTTGTGCAATTCTTGCAGTGACTTGTTTTGTAAATATTATACTAGACCGCGCACTCTGGTGCTCTCCGGTTTGACTATGAAGGGCGCCATTTGAACCAAATACATATGTGGGGGGGGAGGCGTAGTTTTTTGGGGGGAGGGGGGTACCACACGCACCGATATAAAGCGAGCTGTTTTACCGTGCTCCCAAATTGCTGTTACGTACAATGTAATTAGAAATAAAAACTATTACTCCCGTTTTCTTTTTGTTTTAGTTGAAAAGAAAATACCAGGCGCCTTTCGTCCGTAGAGCACGGTCGTGCAGTGCCGCCCAACATTTTTAAATTTTCTATTACGTAAAACACTAACAATAATATTAAAAAAGACGCCAGAAACAAACACTAGCCAAATATTATATCAAAACAAAAAAGGTCCTCACTGGGGCCATAACTGTCAATCCTGTGTCTATAGCGCCGTAAAATATCTACTATGCCATGCCAAAGTCCACACGCTTTAGCTAAACATAATAGGATATTCAACGGTGTAACCTGACATATAAATCGCTCTTGGGGATAACCCAAGCGATGACGACACTCGTAGCGAGTTTGGCGGTACATAATATTAATAAGACGGCACATCTTCAATGTGCTCCAGCCGAACAGTGCCGAAACAGTAGGCAGTCTAAAAATAAAAGCGATAGACCGTACGCTATTCTTTGCCAATATTATGTGAGCCCCGGAGCAATCCAATGGAGTGCTCAAGTGAATTGTGATTGGTCCATTGTCTGTCTTGCCACTATTTTAAGTGACTCTGTGACCGTGAACATGAGGGAGGGGAACGTGACCGTCCTATGAGTTGTGCCTTTTAATGGTTTTGTAGTGGAGTAGTGAAAGTTATTACTTGAGTGTTCAGTTCCAACACAGGATGAACGAAATTGATGTTTAGCTAACAAACAAATTTAGTACTAGAAATTAAAGCGACAAGTAAAAAGAATGAAAATAAAAGCACGAGTTCCTCCCTCATGAACCCAAAGATCCTAAAATTGCACAGCATCTCATTCATTATGCCCTTGACTATCTTCAGCATGCGATAGCTTAATTGTGCACGTCCACTTTTTATGCTTTTTATGGAAAATGCTCACCACTAACAGTAAAATTAGCATCATTTTGAACCTTGAAAAAAACTACTAAAATCTATTTGACAGAGAGTTTGCATTGGGCCGTGTCTTTTTCCTTTATTTTTTTAAGTAATGCAGCCGCCTTTTTTATGCACGCTTCACAATACAGATCTTATAGAGAGCGAACAGCAGAGGCAATGACACTGACAGTGCACAGGCTAAAATACGTTTTGGGGTAATTGTAATAATTATATCTGGTATCACCATCTCTTTGTCGCTCTGCAAGACACAAATGGGCCTTCGAGGTCTCTTCAGTAGTTCGTGTAGAAGTAGCAGGCAGTGACGCAGTAAGATACAAACAAAACACCATAAGAAACTGAATACACGTACGTTTGATTTTCATGACTTTTAGTCAATTTATCTTATTATAATAATACTATCCCTCCTCTTGTATCGTTACATATCCGGGAAAAGTGTAATTTTCCGTCAAAGGCAAGTTTGGCAGTTCCTGCTGTTGATTTATTCTTCTTCTTTGGGTGGACCTCTTTGGAGGATGACCAATCGAGTTTTGAGTGGTCTGCCCCTGCCCTTGCAGCATGATTCTCTTGCTTATCAGTTGACCGATCGTCTTGATTCTTTTATATTATTTGTGTTTGATAACCGGTTTCATCTCGGACAAGCTTGTTCCTTATGCAGTCTTTCCTTGTGACATTGATTAATTTACTGAGGCATTTCCTCCCACAAACGAAGCTTGAAAAGTTTAGGGGGGGGGGGTGGTAACAGTGTGGAATTGGTGAGTGAAGTGAGGAAAGACAAAGAATTTGACAGAATTAGAAAAGATGACGAAAAAAGTTTACTACAGAGCATAGATTTACACTACTAGGCACTAGATACAGCACGCCCCTCTCTCGCCTTGTTGCTCGACGGCCACATTCGACAGCGGCGTCCGCCATGTTCTTTTTGGCAAAGCTAAAGCAATGGGTTAGGCATGTCTTCTCTCTTATATGCAATAGACGAGGCTTGGCCCCTTTTGAATTTTTTTTTTAACTTGGGCGCCGTAGCGTACTATTATTATCTAGATTACTAGAAAGCAATAATTCATCGTAGGCCTACTTTCTACAACTAGATTTACAAATAAATGTATTATTAAATAGATAGTTAGATAGACTTTAAAACAAACAAACAAACCAAAATAACCCCCCAAAAATGTATTTCTTCCTTAGCACTTTATCTACGAGACGGTTTATTTCTTATTGACTTAATCAAAGCGTAAACAGGGCCTATAGAACTTTTTAGAAGAAGTATGAAAAGATGTGGATGTCATAGAAACATCCCTACCACCCCACCCTCTCTCTCTTCCCGAATCCCAACTCCAAGCCCCTCACCCCCAATTATGAGTTTGGCATTATATTAAGTCAAGATTAGACATACAAAAAAATTCATGAGTTTTTATGCCATAGGGGTAGGAATGCAATGAAGCTCTTGATAAAACAAATTCTGCCAAACTGATGAAGAATACATGTACTAGTATTTTTTTTTAACCAGTTAAACTTTCCCTTGTGACAATGTTACAGGAAACTATTTTTTCCCATATCTATATTCACCTTTTGTTTGAAATTATACAAAATTATTACTGTTTTCTATTTTGGTATCAAACTTTGGTTCATATTGATTTTAGGAACTAAAGTAGACCATACAGCACTTAAACTAAAGCTCCTTCTATTGCTGTTTTAAGTAAGTCTTCTTTTGGACATTAGCCTAGTAAAACAACTGTGACAACCCTGGACCCACTTCAGATAAAAAAGGAAAATTAACGTTGTTTATTGACCTGGTCAATTGTCTTTCAACACAGCGTAGGGATAACTGAAATCAAAACCTTTACTAAGGTGTTTTTGGACAATATTCAATCAGACTTATATGTGGCCACTGCACTAAAACTAATCCCAAGCTTGTCTGCATCACGGGTGCAGGAAAAGAACATGTTTGTTCATCTTGTGACGAACAGAGGCACTGTTATGTTGAATGTGTAACATAAAAAGTACACTGTTTGAAACAGAAATGACCTGGCCATTGTGAAAAAGATCTAGCTGGTAGTCAACCTTAACTTCACATGGACAGAATTACTTACAGTACTTTATTTTTAAAAACGGAGTGACTATTGAGCCATTTATTTTTTCTTAGGATAAGGGTAAGCCATTCATTTTAGTAGTAGCGCTAGCCTAGGGGTTAGGTAAGGTTCAGCCATTCATTTCGTCTTAAACTTAGCGTTGGGGGATATGGTTAGGTTGAGCCGCTCATACGATTTGATAGTAAAAGATAGGCCCACATTGTCACAACTAAAAGTAAAAAAAGGGAAGAGACATTACAAATAATTTCTGTGCTACTCAATTAATCATTATATCTATACCGAAAATAATGAGATATTCTTCTATTTTACAACAACATTGAAGACATAAAACATTTTATCATACATTTTAGACACGAGGAAAGTTACAATGGCAGCCTATCTTTGGTTGCTCCCATCAATCATCATACCATAAAAATATCATTGCTGATACTTTTATACTTTATATTACTATGGATGCATTCAGGCTTATGACTGTTCATGTTTGATATCTTAATTAAATCAGTGAGTCAAGTGAGTGAAACTAAATCTAGTACCCCAGATTACATGTAGTAGATCTAGCTTGGATTTTGGGATGTTTAAATAAGTAATTAAACACAAAGGCAAAGCAACATTGCAGCGGTTAGATCTTATATTAACTGAAGGGTAGGCTTTAACTTTGACCAGACCAGGCTCCTAATCTTTTCGAATATTTTATTCAAAACATAGATCTTGATCTAATCTGTCTAAATCCGTATCCGTCTAATTCTTACCAGTGAAAAGAAAGAGGAGTTCCTCTTGGGACTTTCTTAGTGCACTGATAGACACATCAGTGTTGCACCATCCTTTCTGTTCTCGTTTTCTTCTGTCTTCCACTTCCAGACTAATCAGAAGTTTGCGGGGGTGAATTTACTGTGAGAAAGTCTCTAATGCTGTAACACATTAGTCCAGAAAGGGACTAGATCTAGAGGTTTCAAGTGCTTGCATTTTTAAGAGAATCTCTTTGGATTAAAACACAACGTTAGAATCTAATAAAAAGACGTTCTTTAATAAGAGCGGAGTCACGCACACTCACATGTAAACAAACTTCTTTGCCAAAACGAAAATGGCCGCCAACCAACTCAAAAGTTTCCGTGTCACGTGACCTCGGAAGGACTCTAGTTTATATAAGAGATAACTCTATGCTACAGAGTCGACAATGACAGTGGCCTATACAGAAAAATGTAGGCCTCGAGGTGAAGCCTCCACTGTTGAGTGTTGTTTATGGAAAAGGAGGGGGCGCCAACAGCTAGGTCCGATTTAGAGCCATTGGGGAAATTTCTTTGCATCGGGGTATGTGGGGTCAGTTTTGTTTTTGGCATTTTGTTGGGGTTTTTATGTGGGCCGGGTGTGTGTGTGGGGGGG